GGAAACGTACAAGCAGCTGCCCTGCATATCTTCCATGCACTCGTTGTAGAGGTCCTGAGCAGGGAAGCTACTTTGGAAGGGTTCGGTTATAGGTTTAGGGGTTAGATAGGGTTTAGGGTTTATAAGGGTTTATAAGTTTAGGGGTTTTATAGGGTTTAGGGTTTATAAGGGTTCAGGGTGTTTATAGGGTTTAGGGTTTATAAGGGTTTATAAGTTTGGGTTTTTTTTAAAGTTTTTATAGGGCTTATAAAGGGTGTATAAGTTTGGGGTTTTTATAGGGTTTAGGGTTTATACGGGTTTATAAGTTTAGGGTTTTTATAGGATATAGGGTTTTTAGGGTTCGGGGCTACCGGGTGTACTGGAATTTCGAGCTGTGTTGTTTAGAAGGCACAGAGGATGTCTCCTGCATTTCAGCTTGCATCGCCATCTCCTCATCGTCAAGCTCTTGCTTGACTGGCACATGTGCCGAGTCCTCGCCCGGCTCCATCCCTGGCTCAGGAAAAAAAACAGCCCTTCTAGGAGTTTGGGCTTCGATCTGTGCCGGCGATGCAAGCGGGTGCATCCTGCTGTGACATGATCCCACTGCGAATGCTACGTAGCACCAGGCACGAAGTACGTAGAATCCTATCACAAGAATAGCTGGAATACGTAGAAAAGCGATTCCGCTGATTTCCGCTCTTTGGACGCCGAATTCCGCTCTTTGGACGCCGAATTCCGCGCGCTCGTTTTCCTGCCATTTTGTATAATTTGACATATAGACTCCTGTATAGTGGGGCGACATCGGAACAGTTCGGGCATAGTGGGGCGACATCGGAACAGTTCGGGCCCAGCGTCCCTCCTATATGCTCTATATACCCTTGAAACCTTGCAAACCCGAGAGAGACATCTAGCTAGGCAGGAACCGTCGAGGCTCGGAGTCCGTACTCCATAGAAAATCTGTACAAGTCAGCAGGATGGAGCACCTGTTCTAGCTACAATGCAGTGCTGAAGTACATTTCGCAAGGTCCCAATATATAGGGTTTATAGGGGTTTATAAGGGTTTGTAGGGTTATAAAGGTATATATTCCCTAGATCACATCCCAGGTGGTCCTGGCGGCACGTCTGGCGAATGCTGAGGCCGCTTTGGTATACACGTGTACATCTCAACATTGGGTACATGCATGCCCCCACATACTGGCCCATCTAGAACATAAGTATGTATATATATATATATGTATAAGTCTGCATATGGGTGCATGCACGTACCCAATGGTTTCCTAAGCACAGCAGAGAAGCCGCCCGAAATGAAGCAACAGTGGTGAAACAGACGATCGATGCACAAACAACTATAACCTTCCAATCTTGATTGAGTCGCTTATTTGACATAACCCTGTAAACCCTATAAACCCTAGGTAGAAACCCTATATAAACCCTTTATAGACACACAACCCTATAAAAAACTATATGTTTATAAACCCTATAAGCCCTATACCCCTAAACCCCTGAACCCTAAACTTTGCCCTAAACACTGACTCCTCGATCTGGCACAGCGGCACTGTGCGGGTTTTTTTCTAGGGGCCGGGCTAGGTTACAATAGGCTTGGCTAACCCCCTATAGGTTGGTTATAAACACTATATAACCCTATATACACCCTGTATACTACTATAAACCCCCAAACCCTAAACCCTGACTCGTCGATCTGGCACAGCGGCACTGTGCGGGTTTGTTCTAGGGGCTGCACGGGCTCGGTGATGGTTTAGGCTTGGCTAACCAACCCACGTTTAGGGTTGCTGAAGGGGAGGTATCAACCTGGATTAGCACGACCGATGCAGGTCTGAAGTCACCATCCGGCGGCTGTCTGCATCCAGACGGGCCATGCCTGCAAGCTTGGGAAGCATGCAGAGCCTGAAGGGTTTGTAGGGTATAGTAATAGCTAGTTGTTTGGGGTTTCTAGGATTTTGTTTTGCGGGTGCACAAGATACCGTTTTTTTTTTGGGTTTCTAGGACTCTATAGGATGTTTTGCGGGTGCACAAGATACCGATTGCATCCAGACGACGGGTCATGCCTGGAAGTTTGAGAAGTCGAGGCTCGAGGGTTTGTAGGGTTTGTAGGTATGTTATAAATGGGGCTAGGGTTTCTAGGATTTTATTACGGGTATGGATCGCATCCAGAGGACGGCTCATGTTTGAGAAGTCGAGGCTCAAGGGTTTGTAGGGTTTGTAGGTATGTTATAAATGGGGCTAGGGTTTCTAGGATTTCCTACGGGTATGGATCGCATCCAGAGGACGGCTCATGCCTGGAAGCGTGGGAGGTCGATGCTCAAGGGTTTGTATGGTTTGAGGGTTTATATAGGGTTCATGGGTTTAGGGTTTATAGGGGTTTTTAAGGGATCAAGCCCTGAGACTTTTGAGAAGCCCTGGCTGTATGATCCTGCAGGCCCATGCGATCTCCCAACCCGGAAATCTTAAAACGATGTACGAAACAAAGCCGGCCAGAGTGTTCCTAAACCTGAATGTGCACCCCTATATAAGAGACCCTGAACCCTGTATAAGAAGGCAATTACATGTCCTATAGCCCTCCCGAACCTTATACCTTATTAAGCCTACAAAGTCGGCGGGAGCCTCGAAATAATTCGCCCAATCATCCGAGGCATTGGGAACATATAGACCTCGGCGGCAGTGGCTTCGGGTCTTTTGGCATTCAAGGAGGGCTTGTACGTGGCTTGAAGGGGTCCTCATGGGTCAGATACAATTCATGCTGTTCTGTTTTCAACATAGAATGCTTTTTAGATGCAGATCGAGTATCAAAAGATGTTGTGTTGCGACAAAGGCCGGGGGTCCCAAAACGGAGCCACGAGTGAAAGGGAGAGAGAGAGAGAGAGAGAGAGAGAGAGAGAGAGAAGGATACATATATACATATATATATATAGATATAGAGAGATAGATGGATGGATAGGTAGATATGTATATATATATATACATATATATATATATTTTATGTTGCGACAAAACGGGTCCCATAACGGAGCCATGAGATAGAGAGAGAGAGAGAGAGAGTAAGAGAGAGAGTAAGAGAGAGAGTAAGAGAGAGAGAGGGAAGGAAGAGAGAGAGAGAGAGAGAGAGAGAGAGAGAGAGAGAGAGAGAGAGAAGAGGGAGGGAGACGAGAGCAGGAGATCCTAAGTCGGCTATAACCCAATTAAACCCATCGAACTGAACCCAGTTAGAAACCCATCGGAAAGAATCCTGTCGAGGAACACAACAGCTCGAAGCTCCTCCATCGTCGCGTAGCAAAATGGGGGCAGGACTGGCTTTACTGTATCTCCCGTAGAGCATTCTGAATGCAGACAGCCATGTCTGCAAGAAAACGTCTGATAAAGTCCCACAGCTGGCTCAAAGTTCGAGATTTATTGAACTTCAACTCCGTCTTGCATTGGTTAATGCCCTCCACACAAGACTCGGTGCTCTTCCTCACGTAATGAAGTTCACGAGTCAAGGAAACAACCTCTTCGCTCAGTGTCAGAACCTGCTTTCGTAAGCAGTACAGCTCGCGGTTGTTCTCCTCCAACCGATCGAAAAAAGCTGCTTCCAAGTCGAACATACCGGCCATGTTTGGGTCGATCGAGTTTGCAGGGTTCTCTCTATATAGTGTTGCAAGCGTGTTTAGGGTTTAGGGTTTAGGGGTTTATAGGGTTGGATTGTAATGCTTCATAAGGTTTAGGGGTTTATAGGGTTGGATTGTAATGATCCTGAACGGCCCAGGCTATGTCGGCGCTGCGGGAGCCGAGTCTGCGATCGCCACTGCGGGAGCCGAGTCTGCGATGAAACCCAAAGATGCTGGCAGGCAGCGAATGAGTTGCTTGCAAACACATAATATCATAAGTGGATTCCCCCGCATACATGTTGCCCTGTTTACAAACCCTACAAAACCCTATGGGCCCTATATATACCTTACAAACACCTAACCAAAGCGAGCCGTGCTGGGGATCACCAGCATACATATACATATAAGCCCTATATATATATAGAGTATATATATATATAACATATATATATATGTATGTATATATTGTATTATATATATTATTAATATATATTCTATATACGATAACCTATAAACCCTACATGCCAAAGCGACCCAGGCTGGCGATCACCATAAACACGAAATTACAATCCCTAGGTTTATAAAAGGTTTAGGGTTTAGGGTTTAGGGTACCCTGTATTATAAGCCCTTAAGCCCTGTATGCAAACCCTATAAACCCGAAACCAAAGCCAGGCTAGTGAGCACCAAGTGTGATGCCCATTAAACCCTATATAAACCCTTGGTAAACCATACAAACCCTATAAACCCTAAGCCCTGTAAACCATGCAAAGCGACCCAGGCTAGCGATCACCAAGTGCGATGCCCATTAAGCCCTATGTGAACCATACAAACCCTATAAACCCTGTTTAAGCCCTGTAAACCATGCAAAGCGAGCCAGGCTAGCGATCACCAAGTGCGATGCCCATCTTCATGAGTGAAGCGATGCTTTGTCCCCGTCGCATCTCGCCTGCAAGCAGGCAATAGACAACACCGCACAAAAAGAAGTGTCCAGCGACTGTGTGAAAAGCAGGCAATCGAACAACTGAGTTTGGTATGCACTCCCCCGAAAGCGTATGGATTGTTCGACGTCACATGAGCTCGGAGGATGCACGAGGTTCTGTCCCCATGCATGCTGCTAGGAGCTCCACCACATGATATGAAGAGCTTCACACCAAAGCCAGTTTGATTACGAAGCTTCTATAGGTTTAAATAGAGGCAGAGTTTAGGGTTCGCGAGGGACGGTTTATCACTGCAGCACTGGCAAACGGCATGAAGCTGGCCCCGGCACCACATGATATGAAGAGCTTCACACCAAAGCCAGTTTGATTACGAATGTGCTCAGGCTTATAAAAGGTCTAACTAGAGGCAGAGTTTAGGGTTCGCGAGGGACGGTTTATCACAGCACTGGCAACGGCATGAAGCTGGCCCCGGAAACGTGTCTCACTTCTTTGAGACGGACTTCAAGAAGTCACTAACCTGCCCACGGGCAATCTTGAGGTACTTGTCGAGCGTGCTGTCGGCGGGGAGGAGGGGCTTGACGGTGTCGTACCAAGGATACTCATGTTTCGAAGGATACTGCAAGGAAGGCTTGATGTGGCTGTCGAAGACATCTCGAATCACTTGCCATTGCAAGGCCTGGTCCGGGGGATTCGGGCGTGGACGGCGAGCGAACACCTTCTCCTTGAACTCCCCTTCACCGGCCTTGCCTTTCTCCTTCTCAACGGACTTGCCTTTCGCCGTCGCCGCTTTCTGCTTCTCGTCGGACTTGCCTTTCGCCTTCGCCGCTTTCTCCTTCTCGTCGGACTTGCCTTTCGCCTTCACCGTCGCTTTCTCCTTCTCGCCGGACTTGCCTTTCGCCTTCGCCGCTTTGCCTTTCGCCTCTGCTTTCGGCTTGCTTGCCTCTTGGGTGGCCTCATCGTCGGACTTGCCTGTCGCCTTGGCATCGTCGGACTTTGCGTCGCCCTGCTCGTCGGCCTCATCGTCGGACTTGCCTGTCGCCTTCGCATCGTCGGACTTGCCTGTCGCCTCGGCATCGTCGGACTTGCCTTTCGCCTTCGCCGCCGCTTTGCCTTTCGCCTTTGCTTTCGGCTTGGCTGCTGCAGCTGCTGCATCAGCCTGGTCATCCTTCGAAGGGGCAGAAGAACCTGGCTTCCTCCCTCGTCCAGGACCCGTCTTGAGCTGCTTGGCCGCCGGTCGCTTCATCGGAACGGGCTCATCATCGTCCTTGTCGCCGTCCTTGCTCCACGGGTCGTCAGCATGCCCATCCATTGTAACATCGTCATCACTTCCAGGATCGGCTGCCTTCCTTTTTCCCGCGAACTGGTCCGTTCTGCTGACCTCCGCCTGCAGGGTCTAAGGATATGTGCTATATACAGCCACATGCAGGGTTTATAAGGTTTATAGGGTTTAGAAGTTATAACATATAGGATTTATAAAGGGCTTAGAAGTTATATAACATATAGGGTTTATAGAACCCAATATATAAACCCTATAAAGTTTATAGGGTTTATATATTGGGTTTATAAAGGTTTAGGGTTTATACAATTATGTAGGTTTCGCATACTCGCATACAAAAGTACAAGCCCCAGTATACAAGCCCCAGAATTGCCTTGAAATCCAGAACACTGAAGACCTCGGGAGCCGAGGTGATGGAATCTTGGCGAACGGCTGCCTGAGGCGGCCAGATCGAATGTATTGGGTTTATAGGGTTTTATAAAGGGTTTAGGGTTTTATAGAGTTTATATTAGGATTTCTAAATAGGGTTTAGAAACTACTCAGAGACATGTGCAAACAGATCGGACTGACATATCCAGAGTGCTTGTGGCTGGCATCTGCTGGCAGCATCAGGGGGTAGGCAAACTTCAACAGGAGGCTTGCTGCCCAAATCAGCACATGTAGGCACCTTGAAGATGTCGAGGGGCTGCGTGTCCAAGGAGCTCGGGTCACCTGGGCTTGTAGGAGGCAGCTTCTAGTAAATGGTTCAGGGGGTCCGTGTTGATGTTGGGGTTTAGGGTTTAGGGGTTTAGAGGGTTTATACCTACAGGGTTTAGGGTTAAGATTTTTAGGGGTTTGGGGTTTGGGGTTTAGGGGTTTAAGGTTTAGGGTTTTTTTGGGTTTAGGTTCTTTTAAAGGCAGCTTCTAGTAAATGGTTCAGGGAGTCCGTGTTGATGTTGGGTTTATGGTTTAGGGTTTAGGGGTTTAGAGGGTTTAGCCCTGCATGGGTTTAGGGTTTATAGGGTTGGATGCGAATAGGGCACTTGTGCAAGAGCTTCTCGCGGGTTGGTTGTGGAGGGCAGATCTCATGGCCTGCTTCTCTGCCAACTTTTTCCTGATCAGGAATGCAATCGATCTGCGTGGGGCCGGCTGCTTGCGGAAGCTCACTGGAGGCTATGGGGTATGGGAACACGGCACCATGCATATTGGTAATTTCAGAAAAGATTCCTAAGCTCGAGCATGCGGTCCAATTTGGCCTGGCGAGCCGGCAAGGATAAAGTTGATCTCACAGGCATTGATGTAGGAAGGTTGGAGGGACTAGCCGAAGAGGACTCCGAAGACACCCCAGCTGAACTCGTGAGATGCGACTTCCTCTCAATCATGGGTGGAGGCTTGAAATTGACACAGGGAGTCGCCACCATTGTGACCCCGAGACCTTGCAGGGCTCGGCTTTTGTCTGGAGTAGGCACAAGATCCCCAAGCACCGGCATCTGAGGCTCCTGATGGTTTGGAGTAGGCACCCGATCCTGCCCAAGCACCGAAGGCTCAGGCTCCTGATTGTCTGTGGGCACACGATCCCCAAGCACGGGCATCTCAGGCTCCTGATTGTCTGTAGGCACAGGATCCCCAAGCACGGGCATCTCAGGCTCCTGATTGTCTGGAGTAGGCACACGATCATCCCCAAGCACGGGCATCTCAGGAGGCTCCTGATTGCCTGGAGTAGGCACATGATCCCCAAGCACGGGCATCTCAGGAGGCTTCTGATTGTCTGGAGTAGGCACACGATCCCCAAGCACCGGCATCTCATGAGGCTTCTGATTGTCTGGAGTAGGACCAGGATCATCCCCAAGCGCCGGCATCTCTTCGACCTCATCATCAGAAAACGGTACGAACAGCTGCCCATCCGGTAACATGTAGGGGTCTGCAGGCTCAGCAGCGACCACTGCAGGGGCTGCGAAATCCTCGGCGTCCTCGCCGCCGCTTGGATCGCCCTCGCCATCATCAGCACCATCGTCATCCTCATCAGGATTCTCGCCGCCCCACTTAGCAATCATGATAGCCATAATTGGTTGCAAGGATGGATCCTGCAGCGGATTACAAATCTAGAAACCTTATAAACTCTGAACCCTATATAGTATACCCTGAACCCACTCCCAACAACAACTTTTCCTGTAGATTTAAGGAGACCGCAAAATGCCTAGCTTAATGATCTATCGAGCATATATAACTAAGAAATACTACGAACCCCTGCACAGTCCCTGAAGTTCAGAGCTCCGGTGCGGTATCGCCTGAGACAATAGCTCATCAACCTTTTCAGACCCCACTCATCGACATAGGTCTTGACAGTGTCTGGCGAGGGGATGAGCAGCCGGTGGACCTCCTTCACCTGGGGGATGGGTTGGTCTATAGTCTATAGAGGATTATATTATATAGTTAGGGTTTAAAGGTTTATAAGGGCATATAAGGTGTATAGGGTTTATATATAAGGTTATAGTATAGTTTGGGGATTTCTTGGGTATACATGCACTCACATAATTCGAAGTATTTGTGTGCAGGGCCTCTTGTCTGATCCAAGCTATCGGCGGAGATTTAGGGCCATCGGAAACCTCGACCCAGACCATCATTGTGTAGCGAATGATAAATCTGTTGAGCTTCAGGGTGGCCTTCGTAGCAACCCCTGTAGTTGCAGCACTTGGCCAATCCAGAAGCCTTCCCTGGGTCCTCATGCGATCCCGCACAATCTCACACCCATCCCAAGTCTTGGCAAGCTTGTGCATCTCCGGCCACGACGAATCCCCCATTTTGCCACAAAATGTGGCAAGGCACGAAAGGGCAACCCTCAAGAATCGAGCCTGCAGTATGCAATGTATCATGCATTATACAGACACACTTGTAGATGCACACAGCCAACTGCAGTCCTACAGCAGTGCATGCAAGGCAGCAACAGGCCTTGCAATTCTGAAATCTCCCAGCCACCAGGCTCCTGCACATATAGGAAAGTACAAGGATCCTTCTAAATCTGAGGGATGGCTCTCCTGCCTTCTGCTTGCAGAGGCTGAAGAGCAGCTGGAGGATGATGATCACGAGGAGCCGGCCTGCTGTGCGTGGATTGTTGGGTTGCTTGCTCTAAATCAATCGCGGGCCCCGGCCTTTGAAAGAGTGCCGCTGGAAAATCGTGGTGAACAAGCACCAAGGTAACATCACCTGCGAGGCCGACTTTGTTGAATGTAACGATATTTGTTGAAGAAGTGTGCAGCTGCAAGAAGTGATCGCGTGCACGATTTTCCCCCAAAATTTAGCTAACCAGCTCGGCAGCACATTGGTCCATGCTACATGTGCATTGCAACAGCTCCGAGCCGTACCCAGCTGACACCATCATGGAAGTCATCTGCTGCTGCGAGGATCTCAAAGTCCACGGCTGCCTGGGATCGGAAGAAAAAATCACAATGTCCGGACTTGCAGGGGCTATGATATCTTATAAGATTTCGGGTTTGGGCTTGTGTATACAGAGTATACCTCATCAACAGAAAGCGACTTAAAGGGGATTTGGGTTTGGGTTTAAAAGGTACCTTGCGTTTATGGGATCACACATTTAAGCCTTCTATGCTGTCACCCTATACTGTTTTAGGATAAGGTGCACATCTCCTTGAAGAGAAGCCGGAAGTGCAAGCAGATACCGTGATGACGAATGTTTTCAACGACGTTCTCCACTATCTGGTCCCCTGATTTCGGTGGATCCTCCCAAGTTGTTGTGAATGGCGAATTTGTCAGAGATGCTTTAGGGTTTATAGGGTTTATAGGGCTTATAGAGTTTATGGGGTTTAAAAGTTTATAAGGTTTATGGAGTTTCGTCCTGCTTGCTGTACATGGCCCGGCAGCATGCAAGCCAGAAGCGGTCATCCATCTGCGTCAGTCCTGCACACTCGAGAAGTCGGTATTTGGAAGCCCATGGCCCGAATACCCCCTAGTAAGAGATATATAATAGTATCCCCGCTTGTCCTTCATGGTTGCAAAGCGTAAGGCTTTGCATCGAAACATTCGCCAGCAAAGCGACCATGGACGAAGAAAAAGGCATGGCGAGCTATGCCAAAACCTACAGCCCCGCAGAACAAAAGCAGCTAGGCAGATCGGGTCGAGTCACATCAATGCAGGCCCATGCACTCACCAGTGCTCACAATCAAAGCAAGGGCGAGCGGGGAGGGCGTGCCTCCATGAGCACATCGAAGTCGCCATCGACATGTCGAGTCAGATTGCAACGGGAGTGTAGCTTATATTTTTGGTTTAGGGTTCAGAATAATCACGATACCCATTCAATCTGGATCGATGCACACTCCCTAAGGGAATCCTATACTACTCAAGACCGCGATTCGCCCTGGCCGTTGGTGTGGGCTTTCAAGGCTCACATAAACTTGTGTCGGGGCTACAAACTTTTTTGCTACACACATCTCTGCACTACATCAAGCCAAGACTTAGCAAAGGCCCGAGCGAAAACGCTTTCTCGGAAGTGGGGCTATCTGATCAGAATCGCACTTTCAATGAACCTGCCAGTACATGCTTCATACTGTCGATTCCGCTCTCTCCCCGCTGTTTTCCGCTCTCTCGTTTGGGAAATGTTTTTTATCATAATAAATGGTTTTCCCCAGAAGAACCTTTTTTTAGCAGCAAAAGGTTTCACAGGTAGCGCACGAGGTGAGGAGGTCAAC